TATGAGTCACAACTTATTAGTCAGTCACAAATTATCAAATTTTTTAGGTCACGTAATTTCATGGTAAAAAATTATCTTTTTCATTTGACATATTATTTATTGGTCACGGATTAATCAATTTAATGGTCACAGTCGACCAAATAATTGATGACTACCACCAATACTTGCGACTTTTGACGGCACCACCATCACACCGTCGTGCCGAACCACCACCACTGTCGCCAAACCACCATAATCGTCGTCGCCACCACAACAGTGCCACCAGCAACAAAATCGTCATCACCAGATCCAACAAAAAAAAATCTCAAACGCGCCACCACCTACATCACACCACCGACGCCACTAGATCGCACCAACTAAGAGACGTCACACCACCCCAACCATTATATCTGCCACCACAAAATCACCACCACACAAGACACCACCACACAAAACACCATCAAGATTTGGTTGCGATGCTTCACAAATACTGTTGCTTCTTCGCGCCGCATCGAACACAAGCCATTTCACTAGGGATGGCAATGGGGCGGGAGGCCCGCCCCGCTAAGAAATTCTCCCCCTCGTTACCGCCTCATTACCCGTTTAAGGCGGATCGGGGCGAGGTCCTTGCCTCGTTTACTACCCTTTTAAATTTTCTTTTAGTTTTTGATAATTTATTTTTATTGCTTATATTCATTAGATTTAGACAAATAATTTTAGTTGCTATATTCTATTAGAACTAATGAAATTTTGTGACATTTTTCATTTAAAGTATTGAATTCTAAAAAACAAATAAAAAAAAATTTTAACGGGGCGTGGCGCCCGTCCTCGCCCCAAATACCCGCTCGAATACCCGATTAAGTGGGTTATCCCCGCCCCGTTCGGGGCTGGGCCCCGCGAGTATCGGGTTTATCGAGTTTTTTTGTCATTCCTACATTTCACATCCTCAAATCGCGACGATTCGGGCTCCTTCTGGCCGACGAAGCTACGATTGCTTGTGTTTAGAGAGAGGGGACAGTGAGATGTGAGGTTTTGGAAGAATACGAGAGGCGAGGGAGCAAGATGAACGGTAGCGTCGTCACTGCGCCGACTCGTCGCGACGACCATTCACAGAGGGAGGGGAAGGGAGGGAGTAGTGTGTGTTAAAATTAGGGTTATTAATTGGGGATTTAATATATATATTACCTGATTTTTGAATAAATAAACTTTAGACCTTATTTTTGATAATCAATTTTTAAACACCTTATTTGTGTAATTTTCCCTCAAGGGAACTCATTAAAAAATGGGCTTTGCAAGTTAATGGAACTCATTAAAGATGCATTGTTTATTAGGGAAAATTTCATAATTAGGAGGTTAAGTATCATCAAATTCAAACTAATTAAAATTTATTTATGATTTAATTAATTAAATATATTAAAGTTTCAAATTTATGGTATGTTTTATGGATATTATTAAGGAAAAAATGTATTTTAAATAGTGATATGATAAGAAATATGTGATTAAAAAGTAAGGAAAAGTTATTGATATAATGGAAAATATTATTTTATTGAAAAATGTGTGGTTGAAAATGAGTTTTGAAAGAATATATTTTGAAATAATGTGTACCAAACAACGACTTATACAATTTGATCACAAATTAACGATTTAATTGGTCACATTATTTTTCGATCACAAATCAAAAATAAATTTTGTCAAATTATTTTATTTTCACAATTCAAAAAATTTATAAGTCACAATTTGTTCATTAGTCACAAATCAAAAAAATTATACATTACAATTTATTTATCGGTCACAAATCATAAATATTATAAATTACAACTTATCAAACAATCACAAATTTTTAATCAGAAATTTTATATGTCACTAATTATCTTACTGTCACAATTCAAAAATTTTATATGTCGCAATTTGTTCATTGATCACAAATCAAAAATTTATACGTCACAATATATTTATCGACCACAACTCACAAATATTAAAAGTCACAACTTATCATACATCACAAATTTTCAAATTAACGGTCACAAATTAAAAAAAAATTAGGTCACAGATTATTTTTTTGTCACAATTTATCTTTTTCTTTGCTCACATATTGTTTATTGGTCACAAATAAATCGATTTAATGCCCACAATCAACTAAATAATTTGTGACAACAACCAACACTTGTAACCACCACCTTATCACTCCCTCTAGCAACACTATTGCCATCGTCGCCGCCCGAACCACCACTACCTCTTGATAGCAACAACATCTCAAACAAATCAACATATCGCAAAAAAACACCACCACATCGTCGCGTTGATTCACTACTACCTCGACAGACCCATCGCCACCACCATCTCACCATTACCTCTGACCACCACCACCCATTCACTAGTACCACGTCCATTGTTATCAGTCACCACCACAACCAAAAAATCAGATTTAAAATTATAAGTCACACAACACCGGACCATCATCGTACCCAACACCACCGCCATAGCTGCCACGACCACCACCAATATTGTCATCGCAATCCTATTACCAATCCACAACCACAACCACAATCGCAACCACCACCACCACCATCTCCATCACAGTTGCCACAACAACTACCATCTCCTCTATCTTCATCTCCACTAAACCGCAACCACCAACCCTACTAAAAAATCCCAAAATCGCCACCGCCACTATGATCTCCACAAAATCACACAAATCCACCACACCACAATCGTAAATCCATCACACCACAACAGCCTCCACAAGTCCAGCAGATTGCAATCACGGTGCCGCCACCATCACCACCGACGTTCACATCGCCTTGTTAGGGTAATGCTCGTTTCCACTAGATGGTTATTTCCTGTCGAGGCACCTTATGCTTCGGTTGTGCCTTGGCAGCCTTGATACGAATATTCATGGACATAATGGTATGCAATGAGGCTCTTTGTGGCTGACGTGGAGCCTTAATGGACAATAATTATTTTAGCACGAAACAATAAATCAATTATCCTTATTAATCTGCAAGTTCTCTTCACGTCTCATACCCTTCATGTCCTTCTTCATGTACAAGTCGTGTTTGAGGTGAACTAAGAAACCTAAATTGATTAAATTTACACTACAATGAGTTTCATCTCAACTACAATGCTCACAAAGAGTTTGAAGAACGCTCAACTTCAATTACATTGTACGATTTAAAGTGTAATTCGTAAAGCATGAGGATTAATATTTCGATGAACATCTTTCAATTTAATTATTTCTATATCATGATATTATCCCTTGAAGTCGAATAACAATTTCAAATCTTAAACTTTTTTGGTTATTCAATTATTTGAAGTTAATATTTTAGATCCTTGCAATAAATAGTCGTATCTTCTTATATAGGAAACACCACTTATGAATTCATATGAGTTTGATATTAACACGTCGAGTACTTATCTTCTACATATCATATCTGAATTCTAATAATTTATTAACGAGAAGTGAAATAACTAATTAAACATGACTAGAAAATAACTGGAAAACCCTAATTCTCCATGCCTGAAGCTTGACGAGCACGAACCCTAATTCTCCATCAACTCGAACAGCCCAAAGTCGCTTGAAATTATTATCCTTACAAATTGTCTTCAAAGAATTATTCAAAACATAAGGTCCAGATTTTTTCTTCATATCCCAAATTCTCAAATCTGCAGTTTGATCTTTAAGCAATGGCTCAATTATCTTCACTTTCATAGCCATTTTCCGTCTCTTACTGTCGTACTTTGACAGATTTGTCTTCTCTTCACTGCTCAATAACTCCTCTCTAATCTGATTCATCGGAATGGTGAGCCAATTTTGATCTTTCTTTATATCAGTACGGAACAATCGCTTATGTATCACCAACTTTTCGCTACAGACAGTTCTACCATGTGCTAGGGCAAGAATTGCGTTGTATGGGCAATGGAGGGACTGCATCGTCCGTCAATATATTTGAAATTGTTGTATTTTATATTTTAATAGGTGAAACTCTATGGATGAAAAATGAATTGAAGGAAAGAAGCAAAATGTGGCGAAAAATGGCAAAATCTAAAGTACAATGACTAACTTGCATTATATGAAA